TTTTTTTTACAACAGTAAAAATAAAATAGCCAGGTTTATTTATGGAGAAAAAGCAAGACAAATGCATATTCTCATGCACAGCCACACTCATGGCGGGTTGTCCTACTTGCGAACTGACTACAAAATAGACCCAGTTCCTGCTGCTGTTGACCTTGCAGTCCATCCTTCTGTCCAAAAGAGAGTCCAGGTTTATTTAGCCTCCAGCTCTTAGCTAAAAGAAGACATGGACAGAAGAGATAAGGAAAACATCTACTCTCCCAGGAGGAAGGAGGTCACATGATAAAGCAGACACAGGATAAAACATATCATGCTGAACTACTTAAACAGGAGAGGAAGGAGGGGAAATTGCTCAATCAGGGTGGTTTGGAATTAGAGGTCCCAGGAAGCATTAAAGCCCACGAGTTAGATTAGCCTGGTGCTTAGCAGAATGAAATATGCATTCATAACTCACTTTGAGATGTCCATCTCCCAGCCTTTTCATTTGCTCTCTGCATTCATGCCAAGATCGCATAGCCTTGGCAAACTGGAGACTTAGCCATTTAGCTACTAATTTGGGACAGGGTTGTAGAAATAACTCAAGCCCCCAAAGGAAAACCTCATATTCAACTGAGAATATATTTATATTCCTATATGTCATGTCGTTCTAAATTAAAAGTATAAAGTAAATACAATCCCAAATTATTTTATTTTCCAATGTGTTTCACTCTGCAAACCTGGCCTGAGTGGCCCTTTTCTCTAGTTATTGGCACCACAAACTTTTGTTTTCAGTAAGCAAAATAAATATTTTCATTAAAAGGGGTTCTGGGTGGAAGCTGGGCAGGCATTTGGTGTTCAGGATGCCTTACCTCCTATGTCAGAGTGCCTGGGTTAGAGTTCCAGCTCCATTTCTGATCCCAGCTTCCTGCTAAAGCACTCTCTGAGACGCAGCAGGTAAAGGCTCAGGGAGTTAGGTCCCTGCCATTCCCATGGGAGGCCTAGGTTGTATTTCTGCTTCCTGGCTTCAGATTGATTCAGCCCAGTTAGTTGGGGGTATTTGGATTAATGAACCAGCAAATGGGATCGCTTTTTCTGTTTTTCAAATAAATTAGGAAGTTTTGTTTGCTTGTTTTGTTTTTAAGATAGCTCTGTAATGAAACTAGCCCTCGTAAATCAAGGCCTTCTGAGACACAAATGCTATAATCAGGACTGACTGGTGGTAGAATATTAAAAATTTAACACTTGGTTTATCCATTTTTTAGCCAAACCTCAAGCCCTGCATCCACCTATGGTGATTCTGTTTGGTGCAATGCTTATTGGTAGCCCTAACTCATCAGGATCCTCTATGCCATAGTAGATACTTAAAATATAGTATCCATTTAAATACATAAAGGGACTGTATATTTCATATCTATTTTATCATTGACAACTCTCATGACAACTCTGTGAAGTGGGTAGGGTGGTAATGTTGATGGTGATGATGATGATGATGAAAGCAACCATAGTGGTGTGGCCCATGGAGTTGCAGAACAAGGCTTTCGTATTTCTAACACAGGGCTCCTTACCTTGCTAATATTTTCCTCTTGAATGTGTGTTTTCTTAAAATAGTTATAAATTGCAAACACTTATGTTACACTGAAATTAGTGGAATTTGTTTTTATAGGTACTAAAATAATTTGAGACACCTTGATTAAAACCTTAGTTTGTCAAAAAACAACAACAACAAAAAGCCACCAGTGCATGACCTGATTTAGCACAGGCCAAGGAAATTATTTCCTGGGTTATCAGTACGTGAATGTTGTTATCTTAATAGTATAATCAATTACCTGAACAAGTACAGGGCTGCCAAGCCTCTTTTTTTTTTTCTAATTTAGCTTTATAAATGGAACCAAAAAAAAAGTATGACTGAAGCAGGATTGGATACATAATCATATTTGGATATATAATCATATTAATGAAATTTATTTTCATTTCATACAAAAATGTCCTGTATCAAATATAATGCATTATTAAATAATCCTTTCAATGTAACCTCAACATTTCCATTGTTATCATCAGAGTTTATACTTGTGTCACACAGAATAAATAATATTAAAAATATACTAGTGGTGGTGAAAATGTCCCCATAGCCCATATGAGGCAATATGCTTAGGTTCTATATTAAAAATGTTACTTGGGGGCAGCTGTTTGTTATACTGTTGTTTAGATGCTGCTTGAGATGTCTCCATCCCATATTGGAGTGCCTGAGTTTAAGTCCGATCCCTGCTCCTCATTCCAGCTTCCAGCTAATTCACACCCCGGGAGGCAGCAGTGATGGCTCAAGTGTCTGGGCCCTTACTGTCCACATGGGAGACCTGGGTTCCTGCCTTCAGTTTAGCCCAGGCCTAGCTATTTCAAGCTTTTGGGTATGAAACAGCCGATGGAAAATTGTTCTTTGTCTCTGCCTGTGTCTCTTAATTGCAAATATAATGAAACAAATTTCCAAAAAAAGAATATTATATAGAAAAAGACAACTTGAGTAATTACATAAGCGACATACCAATTTCCTACAGTAAAACATAAGGATCCGTTTGCCTCCTTCTTGAGGAAAATAGAAGAGTACTACCCCGAGTCAATAATTCACCATTTGGGAGCATTAACTAGCCTATTCTTTTTTCTAACCTACTGAGGTGCCATTTCATAAATACAGTCCCAAAACCTGATTTTGGCTTGGATTTGACACCACAAAGGGCTGCCTTTTCACCATGGTCAGCACAATGCCCTGGTCACTCCACCAGACCCTAAAGGAACATGTCAACAGAAAAGAGGTTCAGTTTTTCAAAAATCCTTGGAAATGGAATTGATATAATGAGCTGTGGTTTCATTTCTTAATGTTTTTGGTTTTTGGTTTCAAGGATAAATGGTGAAAGAGTAAGCAAACAGAATAGGAAGGCAACTTTAAGAGAAGGGGCATTTAGTCCATTGCTGTCTCTCCACCTTACAGAGTAGATCATTGACTAAATAAAGTTGAAAAGTGAAACTGCGAGTTTGAATCCTTGTTTTTCTGCCCCTTCCTGGCTAGGAGACTTAAGCAAAAAATTGAACAATCTTCAAGGGGACACTGAATGATGACAAAAATGTTTATGTTCCCTAAGGCCCTGCTACTAGATGGCTATTATCTTCAGGATAAACTATATGCAATGGATTTAAAATGAGATGGTGAAAAGCAGGTGTTGTTATCATTCCAAAAGACTTATGGCCTTTTAGCAGGTACTTGACTATTCTGGAACCCAATTTGGGGAGCCATTTGAAACCTGATATTTATGTCACATTGTCCCAAAGTTAGTGTTTTCACAGATGAACAACTGAGGCCAAGTTTACACAATTACATCTGAGGATGTAAACTTGGAACAGTAAGCTTACAGATGTCTCATAGTTTTTCATCATGTTGATTTAATTCTTTTGATGAGTGAAAATGTACACAGAGCCATAAAACATATGAAAAGAGTTCTCACTTTTTTGGGGTCAAATTTTTGAGAATCTTTTGAATGCTAGAGATATCTTCCCCCCAAAATGAGCCCCCCCCCCCACACACATACGCACGCACGCACACACACACAGGCATGCCCACATACCTACATATACATAAATACTTTGAGCAACAGAGAATTCCCTAACACTTTCAAAAGTATGCCTATGATTCACGTAAGGAACTACTGAACTAAGAATAATTTCTAGAGTTTATATAAGGATAGATGACACAGAGATATGCTTGTATGTGTGTATATATGTATATATATATCCTAACATTTAATAACTATTTAAATGATTAAGTCTTAAACAGTATATTTCCAACGACCAAATTCTAGGAAAGTTAGACTCATTCTGCACATTTAAGTGACAGATGCTCCTATGGTGTTTTGTGAACCACTATTTAATTGAAGCAGCTTCACAATTCCTATGTGTTTATACCTACAAATGGGTTTTCTACCAATTTCTAGTGGACCTTTTCTCTTGGTAAACAAAGTAACTAGCCAGAGCATTTCCTCATCTCTTAATATTATTAAAATATTGAGCAATGTTCTTTCCACAAACACTGATGCTTGGCTCAGCCTGTTTCTGCTTGTCCCAAGGGACACAGTATTCTATCAAAGGCAGAAACTACACATCTTTGTAGTGGTTACCCTCATCTCTGATCTGAGTAACTTTTACCAATAGTATATTTTACAGCTCGGCTAATAGCTTCATAGGGGGCTATGTATGTAAAGGCAGTTTTAAAATTTCACTAACAATAGACAGCTCACACCTCAAATTGTAAAAAACATTTGACAGCAACATTTGCTACAGTATTGGTTAGCCTGTGAGTTTTGCTGTACTAATTGAGCATTAGGAAAGGAAAAGGAGCCAGGAACAGAAATGTTCTAAGGCCTAATGAAACTTTCACTTTCAATGTATTAGTTATGATATGACTTCTTTAAAGTGCTCAGGATAATAATAGGAAAACAAAAGATTGATATGCAAATATCTCCATTCAGTAAACATCAGGAATTTCAGTAATTAAAGGTGTAGGACAACCAAGAGTTTCCTTTTATGTCCTTCAGCATCCTAACACTTCATCACTTACTAGCAGTTTTCAATAATTTCAGTTTTGAATTGTCTTTTTTTCCCAGAATTTAGGGGTGGGAGGTACCCACAAACGGCCAAATTCTCTCCAAGTATGAAGATATAAGCATTTTATTTCCATAGTCCATATTTGCTTTGTTTCTCTATCCTAACTAAAAACAGATTCTCTTTCCAATTTTTTTCATCCCTGGTTTCACATCTATTTCTTGAAATACCAAAGATGTGCTATGGTTTCCTTCCTTTGCAGGTTCTTTCTTTTGTTTGGTATCACTCTCTTCAACTGCCTTTTCCCCTCCTTCTGGTGGCAATGTTAAGGCTTATGCTTGTAATACCATTAAATGTGGGTTATGTGGTATCTGCCTTGGGTAGGCTCAGGAAATCTCAGGGGGCTTCTGCAAGACCACAATGGAAGATGGAGCCTACTAAACAAAGACACTGAAGAGAGGGAATTCAGCCTGATTGGGCTGCAGCAGATCGATGAGAAAGCACACGGTCCCAGAGAAGCCTTCATACAAGCTGTAGATGCTTTCAAGGACCCGGGAACCGGCCTTGAATTCCTCAGTAAATAAGAATTGAGCAAACCTAAGAGGAGAAAACATAAATAATTTTAATATGAGTGTTTCCATATAATTGGCTATGGGTCAATATTTCCACTTTCACAAAATTAAATGTTTAGCAGATTTTCTTTCTAGAATTATGCAGTTATTGTAAGAAATAATTTTTCGCCACTGGCAAAATAAAGCAATTGTTATATAATTATGCATGTTTCACAACAAATCAAGCTAGCAAGCAAATCCAATATTTGAAAAGCAAAGCACTTTGGTATTTTCTGACGATATGATTCCTCTGTCATCCAATAATTAAAAGCAAAAAAAAAAAGACAAATATAAATCACCCTATTTTTATTTATCTTGAATATAATTAAACTGATATATCACTGTTCCTTTTAAACAAACAAACAAAAAAAACCAAATACTCTGTGTTTCTCCAGGCATATTATTTCTAATCTGGGTTTCATTTATATGTGACAAAGAGTAGAGACTGAAAATAAATAGCCTGATTTTCTACAATCTGTGCTTTGGGCAAACAAAGGAAGAAGATGAATGGGAAAAAGCAAGCAACCTTTTATAAAGATGACATCAAATAGCAATCTCAGCTCCATGACAGATAGTTTTTAAGACACCACCTTAGACATAAATCACTGTCCTCTAAATTCCCTAAGCCTTTTTTTTCTTTTTACCCATATTTACCACAAATCCTATTCAGACTATTTGTAATGAGTATCATTTGTATAGTAGTCCACAGCTTTTAAAATATTATTACGATGTTATCTTTTTACTGACTTACCCTACTTGTTTCCACTAGCAACAAAAATAAACAACAATTCCGAGGCTGGAGCTCACTTGATGAGCCCCAGAACTGATACTGCCATAAATATAAATCATTGCTACTTCATAGGGGGTCTAATGAACAGTAATGACCTATTTGATCTCCTAAGGCTTTTGGAATTATTGGTGGTAGCTTAGAATCTATTAGCAGGAAACATTAAATTCTATCCAATATAATGTTACTTGCAACTGTTTTCCTCAGCATACAATTCTAAAACAGAATTTCAAACTTTGAACAGTAGAAGAATGATACATCCTTTGAGTTAATTCAAGATTTATAATTATATCATTAAATCAGTATCATGGTATAGCTTCAGAGAGGGACTTTATCTTTGCAGTCCTGTAAATCATTTGCCATTCTGGATTACTTCTCAGAAAAAAAAATTACATCCATAAAATAAAATAGTCAGGATTACAAAGGAAGTTAACTTTATGAAAGCAGTTAGATAACCTTTAAACAAAATTTATGATATAAAAACATATTTGTACCTTATAAACCCATTAAATGACAAAATACATTAGTAGGTCAAATAAATCCTGATAAGTCTAAGTAATGAAAAGACTAAAATGTATTTTACAATACCTGCAACAAGAGTTAATATGAAATGAGAATATCTATTACTTGTATCAGTTGCAGAGTCACAGCTACTGTTAATACTTACTGAATTATCTCTGACTTAAATTCAGAATCAAAGGCAATATCACAGTTCAATTTGAGATGTAATTTTTTTCCCATGTAAGTTCACAAATCCTACATGGAAAACCCTTGGTACAGTAGAGAGAGAATTTTGGAATTGAGATACATGTATTTGACAATTTCATGTTATATGACCTTTGTCAAATTTCTTAATTTGACTTTAAATTGGTGGAATTAGAGAACTGCATACCATTTACCGTAAAAATTAAAGATACCATATATCTGGCTCTGAGCATGTGTCAAGCATTAAGTAAATGAAAATGCCTTTTCACATAAACATAGCAGAATTTTTATAAGACAGAGGAAGTCATTCTATCATTCCTAAACAATTGAGCTTCAAACAGAGGACTGAGATATGTTAATGTTTTTTCAGTGCATGCATGTAAATATCATAAATATTTTATATTTTTTAACATTGCATACTGAAGAAAAGGCAAGTGACAGAATCATAATTACCTGTAAGTAATGAACATGTCTATTTACAAAACCCAACAGAATATAACAAAACTTAATAGAATAGACATCTAGCTCAGTAAGATGGCCAGATAAACAATTAAGTTACTTAGAAGATACAATGCAAAATTTCATCAAAATGTACACCCTAAAGTTGATAAACTGCAGTATTTCTATGCTTTAGAAAGCTTTCATAATCACCACTAATAAGCCACCTGGAACTACTGGAGGACGATACCACTCAAAATAAATTTGAGAACACAGAAAAATGACAGGAATAAAAATTACAGGAAACATTAAGTCCTTCATCAGATCAAAAACATCAATTATCATTTTTTTTACTATTCAGCCATAAAAAATAATGTAATTTTACCACTTGTAACAGAATGATCCCAGCTGGAAACCATTATGGCTCATGAAGTAAGCCAGTCCCAAAAGGACAAATACTATATATTTTCTCTGATAGAAGACAGTTGGTATGCAAAAATATATAAATGAACTGTATAAGGGAGACTAGCATGCCGGGAAGTAAAGGTGTTATACATTATATGCCTCTACTCCTAAATAAAACTAGGAATCCCAATGAAACTTATAAACATACCTCTATTTTAGGATATTGGGTTTTCTACCTTTGCCTCGACTTACTATGTCATAATACATTTAAACGTCAGAAATTAAACTTGTAACTTGTTCTAAGGGACTATAGTATTATGAAAGCATGGGGACAAATGGGGGGAGAGGTAAAGGAGGAGGGAAAAGGAGGGCAGGGGAAGGAGGAACCCCTATACCTACCTAACTGTATTGTGGAAACCAATAAATAAAAATATTTTTTAAGATTTATTTTATTTTTATTGGAAAGTCAGATATACAGAAAGGAGAGGAGAGAGAGAGGAAGATCTTCCATCTGCTGATTAACTCCCTAAGGAGCCGCAACGGCCAGAGCTGAGCCGATCTGAAGACAGGAGCCAGGAACTTCCTAAGGTCTCCCACGCAGGTGCAGGGTCCCAAGGGTTTGGGCAGTCCTCGACTGCTTTCCCAGGCCACAAGCAGGGAGCTGGATGGGAAGTGGGGCTGGCAGGATTAGAACTGGTGTCCACATGGGATCATATGGGATCATATGCAAGGCGAGGACTTTAGCTGCTAGGCTACCGTGCCAGGCACCACAACAAATAAAAAATAATTTTTAAATAAACAGAAAGGTATAGCATGTTCCTGAATGGAGAAACTCAAAATTTTAAAGATGGTAATTATCCCTAAAGCAACCTATAAATTCAATGAACTTCCAATCAAATATCCATAAAATTTTTAACTTGGCAAACTGATTCTATGCTATAATCAGAGGAATAAGTGGAGAGAATACCTAAGAAAAATTTGGAATAAATTAATAATTAGATATGAAATTAGATAAATGGAACTGATGAAAGTCCAAAATAAAATTGGAATTTCAGATCATAGGAGTAATGAGTCAAGAGATGCTACCACAAATTTTCATTTTCATTAAACAAAATGGATATTTAATAGATGCCACTTTAAAAAGTTCTAGATGAATCAAAAATTTAAATGCTGAAGTGAAATTATAGAGGTACTAATATAAATATAAATTGATTTTTTTATCATCCAGGAAGGGGAAAATTCCTTTTAAAGCATAACACAAGTGTTAAGTGAAATATTAATAATTTTTACAAGAAAAATATTTGAATGCAACTGATGTTTGGTCTGGTTTGCAGGAAATAATTTAAAAGAGGAAAATTTGCCATTATTTGTCAAAATTATAAATAATATATATATCCTTTCATCTGGTGACTCCATTTCTATGAATTTTCCTTTAGATATACCTGTATGTATGCAAAATGACAAATGTACAAGGTTATTCATCACAGCATTACTTGCAGTCTAAAATAATGACAAATATATGCATAAAGTATTTTATCTCAATATTTAATAAATCATAGAAGTACAAATGTAGGTGATGAGCAAGATATACGGTGCTACCATTGTACAAATAGTGATGAACAAAATTTTACTAGCGATCTTCAAAAAGTTCACCGAAGATGAATATTATAAAAAATCTATGCATTAATTTTGAACCAAAATGCATTTATCTTTTTATTAATTTTTCCATAAAATTTGTGAACTACCCTTAGACATCTATTTACATGTATATACACAGAATGCCTCAGGGAAGATAACCAAGAAGCTGATAACACTGATTGTCTCCAGAGAGGTCAACTAAATGGTCAGAGGAGGGCACAATGTGACGTACATCTTGTGCTTTTTGAACCATGTGACTATACCACCTGCTGAGAAAATTAGATTAAATTTTTTGAAAAGATAAAAGCTTAAAAAAGGCTGACCTTTGAGCTCGATAGATGTATTTGGAATTTCCTGTAAGCCGGTACAGCAGCAAGAAGACATAGGCACTGCCAGCTACACCATGGCAAATGCCTGGCCCCTTCTTCAGCAGGCCCTTCTGCCACGTGAGTTCTCCACACCGAATACATGTGTCCAGGTACTGTGGCTTCTTTGAAACCAGATAAGCTTTGGCAAACAGATAGGCAATGCCTGTGAAAATATCAAAGACATTCAGGGGTGACTTTCAGGATTTAATACTGCAGAGCTGAACTTGTTGAGCTGTGAGGCATCACAAAGCACCAATTTCTAAATTGGTAGAGCATAGGCGAGGCCTGAGACATTGCTTTTCTAACAGCACACTCTTGGGAACGACACTTAGAGCAGCAAGGCTTATGGAATGTTCCACGAGGGAGTATTTTTCCCTGTGGGGTTTAGTGTTGCCTTCAATGCATCATGAAGCTGGCCTCTGGAGAAAGAACAACATTTTAATTGAAGTGCATCAATTGATGAAATTCAGAATTTAACCTACAAAGAGGTTAATATTTAATGATGCATACTCTCCTAAGTATTATGCTTTTCTGGCTCTTTGGAATATTTACACAGCTTGCCAATTTGCCCACAGAGATTTGGAATTTGTATTGTTGAAGCACCTGTAGCGATATTAATTTTTCTTAAGAACAAAACTTAAGAGTCTTTTGAAGAACAATGCTCCCAAAAGACCTTGCCAAGACTTCTACCTCGGCTATGAGGTGAGTTCTTCCCAAGTCGACTGTCCCAAGGAAAGAAATATTCTCACAATTCAACAGCAAAGGTAGTTTCGATTCACAAAAGCAGGAACAGAAACAAGAACCATAGAGTTCTTTATAAAATTTTCCCTAAGTTCCAGGTGCCAGGTACTCAAATTCAAAGACAGTCCAAAGCCTTGGGGTCCTGCACCTGTGTAGGAGACCTGGAAGAGGCTCCTGGCTCCTGGTTTCAGATTAGCTCAGCTCTGGCTGTTGTGGCCACTGGGAAGTAAATCAACAGATGGAAGATCTTCCTCTCTGTATATCTGACTTTGCAATAAAAACTTTTCTTTTAATAATAAAAGAAATTTTTTCCACAAATGAAAAAGTTTTAAACCCACAATTTTATTTAATTATACATTCATTCATTCACTGAAAGTGGTTAACTAATTATCTCCTGTATGCATAGCCCTAAGCAGAACTGGCTTCATAGGCATGTAAGTTCTGCTAGCTCATCCTCAAAATTCCAGGTCCCACAAATTATGTAGTCAGTACTGGCTGTGACAGAAATGCTCAATATGACTCTTACCTTTCAGAAAGGTACTGTCTGGAAAGAAACAAATATATATGTATATGTGAGTGATACATAATAGGACATGTAGCTCATAATGCCACTAGAACATAAATGTTATTGTCAATAATACTGGATTGAGGGTGCGATTGGTTAAGCTGCTGTTTTGCGAAGTTGGCATCCTATATCAGGGTGCCATTTTGAGTCCTAATTACTCAGCTTTATCCAGAGTTCCTCAAGTGCTAGGGTCCCTGATAGCTACATGGGACACCTGGAGGGAGTCCTGGTTCCTCGCTGAAGCCTGGCACACTCCTGGCTTTTGCCAGCATTTGGGGAATGAACCAGTGGATGGAAGGGGTGTGTGTGTGTGTGAGAGAGAGAGACACACACACAGAGAGGGAGAGAGAGACACAGACAGAGAGAGACTCTGCCTGTCAATAAATTAAAAAATAATCTTAAAACAATGCTAGAAGAATCAAAAAGATACTCTGAGGGAGAAAGTCAGGCAATGCCTTGGAAGGATCTAGAACTTTTTAAGATTTTGTAGGATGGATGGGAAATGCCAGTCTCAAAATGAGGCAAAGAGGGCATTCTCGGCATGAAAATCCCAAGGGGCAAAATCTAGGAGCCAGGAAGGACAAGCCACATAAAGGGTGTAGAAGAATAGACTGAGTTCTGATTATGGCTGCAAGGTGCACAGGATGTTTGCTTCAGCCCTAGTGCTTCAGCAAGAAAAAGTGCCATCCCATTCCTTCTGAGTTCAGTCTTGTGCAAACAGAAAGAGTGAACAAATCATACCTTTCTGATGGCGTTTTTGTTTTATGAGCAGGCTAGATAGGATTGTCTGTACCCTCTGTTCCCTGAATTGCATTTAAAAGACTCCACTTCAACCAGATTTTCAGGTTTTTCCTCCCTTCTGAGTGCTTTGGCAGGATGTTTCTCATTTCAGTCAATCTTGCTTTGCTCACTGCCTTGTCCATGTGGAACATAGATGTCTCCTACTTGAGATAAGAACCAAGGCCCAAGCCCATCTTGTTTGTCATTACTCTACCTCTAAAATTTTTCAAATTCAGTTAGACATCCTTGATCGTATTCTGTGGGCAACAGGGAACTAGTGGAAATGTTTTCATTGTAAACTGGTCAGTATTTATATAACAATATGATTGTTACTGTAAACAAAGTGGCATACAATGGTATCAGCAGAGACCTAAAAAGGGAAATGTGCAATAGTTATGAAGTGATTACATTGGCATAAAGATGGAAATGAAGCAAATAAAGAAATTATTCACAATACTTGGTGCCTCTTTAGTTATTGATTACTGTAGGCAAGAGACAATAGCAGATACTAAGGTTTTAAGACTCCTACAGCTTAACTGGAGATGTTAGTTAGGCTATGTGTGGGAAAATAGAGGTGTCGTGGGAGCACACAGGAAGGCTCCTAACCTCCAGTTATGGCAGGAGAGGCATATTATGGGGGCTGATGTCATCTAAACTGAGTATATCCTCAAGGATAAGGAGGAATTAGCCAGGTGTGCCAGAGGCTGTTGATGTCCTGTCTGGATCCTTTTTATCTTTCCAGCAGATTCCACACTGCCTCAAGGAAGAACCAGCTTGTTGGTATAACCTGTACCTTTTAAACTTAGCTCCACCTCAGAGCCAGGTGAAATTACAACCAGGTGGGTCACGCAGCTTTTTGGATTTTCTTCCTGCCCTTTCCAGCTTACCTGCTCCCACACAGGTTGCTTCCAAGACGGAGCTCTGCTTCTAAACACTGTTTACTAAACAGAGCCTCTAAACACTGTTTCTAAACATGTAAAGAACATGTTGAAGAGGGAAGTATTCCAACCACGAAAAGCCTAAATGGCTTCCTGTTGCTCCGATACGTTAGCACAATGCAGGATATCCTTTGTGACCCATCTTCTGCTCTGTTCTCTTTTCTCTTCTCCTCCCTTCCCCGCGTGAAGCTTTTCACTTCAGAAAACCAAACTGCCCACATTGCTTTTATGTTGATGATGTTCACTCTTTCTTAAACAAGTTTCCTGCCTTTCCTGGCTTAATTTATGCCAAGCATGGCCTCCTCTAGGAAGCCTTCTCTGAACTTACAGGCAGCACACCAGAAATCCTTTCCCTACAGGACCAGATTAAAATAATTTATTTCCATGTCTACCCGCTCTAGTAACCACCCAAGGGCAGAAACTATGTCTTGTTCACTTTCATCTCCCTAGTCCATAGTGTAGTGTTTAGCACCTCACAAGGACTCCACAAAAATCTATTGGATGTATTCCTCACTCTCCCATGAGCTAACACTGGGGTAAGATGGGAGATGTGGAAGGAAGAAGGGCAGAGATAGTCTAATTGCTGCCTCAGGCAGCTTAATAGGGATTGATCCTGTGGTTCTAGACAGAGTGCAAGGGTTTCACCTGAAGCCTGGGTCACATGTAAGAGGTTCTGGAAAACTTGTAAAGCTATGGGGTCCCAACCCAATCTAACGGAATTAACAGCAAGTCAGCTTAACCTAAAAGGAAGGAATGCTGCCTTTCTTTGCTTTTATTGGGAATTGCATTATTTTATCATGGGAACACTGATTGTATTGTGCATTGATAACAAACCTGAATCAGCATGCACATGTGTCTTTGCAAAATGTGACTTGGGAAAGGAATTATCATCTAATAAATATGGTTTGAGAGACCAAATCTTTGAAAATATGGATTTCAATAGAATCTTATGATAGCCAGACTAATGCATGCAATTTTTACTTGATAGACAATCATTACTCAGGTCCATTTGGGTGGACTGTGTAATATTGCTAATGTTCACATAGTGTATATGTATAGTTTAGTGAGCATTGGCATCTGTGCTGCAAAAACCTTATTGTTTTCTATTCAGTCACCAAGAGTCCTTTGAAAGAGTTTTTTTTTTTTGTAAATAAAAATATGAAGAAACCTACATCTGTGTTTCATGTATAGTAAAGGAAATGCACTGTAACATTACCGCAGTAATGACACAATCTAATGCAGTCAAGAGTTTGTTTTAGCCACAACATGTTTTAATGATTTTGCAAGTGAATTTCATCTTGTACTCCAAAGTCATCAAGGCTATGAAGTGATATGAATCTTCCCGTAATGCTTTATTGCATTTATGAGTAAAAGCTGCATGCCACCACTCTACATGATTATAAATATGGGCATCTCTAAAGCTTTCAGGATATGTCCCACAAGATTGGCCACGTTCCAGAGTCTAAAAGGAGTCTGAGGTTATGTAAAGGTTGAATTCCAGAATTCCAGAATTCCAGAACGGACATTTAGCCTAGAAGTTAAGACATCTGCATTCCACAATACAGTATGTGGGTTTGATATTTAGTTCTGACCCTTGACTCCACCTTACCACAAGAGTAAGCCCTGGGAGACGGTAGTGTTGACTCAGTAACCGAGTTCCTGTCACTGACATGGGAGCCCTGGATTGAGTTCTTGGCTTTTGGTTTTGGCTTGGCCCAGCCATGCCACTGCAGGCGTTTTAGGAATGAAACAGTAAATGGGTGTGCTCTCTCTTCTTCTCAATCTTTTCCTTCTCCCAATCTCTAATTACTGAAAAGTTAAAGAAAAAAATTAAATTCAACTACTCCATTTCACTGTGTTCATTTCATAGAAGAAGAGACAAAGGCAGAGAATAAACTGACATTTTTCTCAAACTCTTTTCGGTGGATATTGCTAGAGCTACAATTAAGCATACAGAGCCATGATTTTTGAATAAAAATAGTTTTTACGCTGATAACTAGGACTAGCACCTGAACATCTGGGGTGATGGAGAATAAGAATAAATTATAGGGAAAGATAAGGCAGCATTAACAAAGTTTCACATTATATATTCTGTGGCAGGTTTTTAATCACAGAATTGGTCTGCTGCCCCAGCCATCTGCACTGTTCATAAATCTATACTCAAAATGTTTTCTTCAAACAAATGAAAATTATCTTTTCTAGGCCACTTCCTGTTTCAGAATTTTTGGGGAGTTGGTTCTTCTCCAACGTTAGTGACATCTCAATGCTCTTGGACCTGTATTTATCAGACTTCTAATCATACTCAATGCTATTTTTTGGAGTATTTGGGATAGGAGTGGCAGAAATAATGGGCTACATTTAGTTTTTTAATTAATTTGTGAATTGGTTTAACTTTGTTAGTCCAGTGAGTACACAGATTGGATGATTTTGCTTTGAGACCTGTGCTTACTGCTGCTCTCAGGATGTTGAACATGAATGACAAAGGAGAATAACTTAAGTCCCCAAAGTGACACATTTCTATGCTGCACCATTGTGGTACATGATTTATAAAGACAGATGGCACTTAATGTACAGAAATGATGGAATAATTGCCCTTCAAGATACCTACATCAATGAAACGACCTGGTTGCTCATTTCAGTAGAATATGTTCCTATTCTTTATTGGACTTTTGCTGGCACCTTGTGTACTTTAAAATATTCTACATTTAACTTGGGACATCTCCAAAATTCAAGGATCCTGGGATGCTTGGAGAATATCCAGAGACCATCATCAAGATTGATTAAAGGAAATGAGAAATGGAAGTACTGAATGTAATAAGAGATATAATTCTCAGGATGGTAAATATATGTTATTTTTCCCCAGAAAGGTCAAAGCAAGAACAAATGGGCTCAAATGATAACTGGCAGGTGCTAGCCTGAACATTAATATACAGTGCCCTGGTACTGGTACAAGTATACACTTTGAAGTTTCTTCCATAGATAAAAATGGCAGGCAAACAATACAGGGACAGTAGACTGTGACTTATATTATCAACTCAAAATGCATTAAGAAAAAGGTGAAATTACACTTGGAATAAAGAACATTAACTAAGGAGTGAATGGAGATAATAAAAACCAGGTAACAAAGAAAAATTAAATGCTGTACTTTTAAAGCTGTACTTGTAGGAATGAATCACAGGCTTGAAAATTAGATCACGCAGAATCTAAATATTTTACTATTTTAAATCTCTCTCTGTTCAATTAATCAAAATGAATTGATTTATCTGAATTTAGCTTCTTTCAAATTGCCTCTTCTCCACATGCCGAATTAGCAGTGCAATGGAATTGTAAAAGAGGAGGGAAAGATAGTGTCTGATAAATTTCTAGGCTTAATTCCACAGAATTCACTAAGACGGCATCACATTTCTCTAGCCTTTTTTTATTAAATACTAATGCAAGTATTCATTTGAAGAATTATGCAATAGGGCACCTCAAACTTTAAGGTAAATACAAATTCCCTAAAGTTATTGGTAAAATGCAAAGTTTTGATTCAATGAGTCTAGGGTAGGGCTTGTCATACTGGATTTTTACTAAGTTCTCCGTTGCTATGCAAGAACTACAATTTTAGCTATCAGGTTCCAGATTTATACTTTCCAATATACCTACTAAGAACTTGAAATATGATGAGTCTGAATTAGCATGTGATATAACTATAAAATATTCACTGGGTTTCAAACATTTAGCGTTATTTTAAACATAAAATATCTCAAATTTATAATTTGGGGTATATTCAGGTAATGTGTCATATTAAAGTTAATTTCACCTGTTTCTTTTTAATTTTATAAGAAGGTCATTTAATTTTAATTAAAAATGTGGCCTGTGTTATATTTTTGTCAGTGCTCATTTAACATATTAGTGGATATAAGTTATATATTATTTGCAAAGCAGAATAATTTCCAGGAATCCTCTAGAGATCAAGACATTTTTGGCTTTGAAATGTTTTATCATGACTTTTTTATCCCACATGGTTATGCTAAAAGAGGGTATTTGGTCAAGTAGTTGAGACATCACAGTTCCTGGGTTTGATTCCCAGCTATGGCTCTAGCTCTTCTTGAAAGATTATTTTATTAACTTGAAAGGCAGAGTACCAGCGGCTAGGTGGGAAAGCATAAAGAGAGATCTTCCACCTCGTGGTTCATTCCTCAAATGGCCACAATGGTCAGGGCTGGGTCAAGCCAAAGCCAAGAGCTTGGAGCTCCACCCAGGTTTCCCATGTGGGTAGCTTAAGCACTTGGGCCATCATCTGCTGCTTTCCCAGGCATGTTAGCAGGAAACTGGACAGGAAGCAGAGTGGCTGAGAATCAAACCAGTGCTCTAATATGGGATACCAGCAATGAAGACTGCGATTAAATCAACTGTGCCCAATGCTCGAAGCCAACTACAGTTCTTAACTCCAGATTTCCATTAATACACACCTTGGGAAGCAGCAGTGATGGTTCAAGAAATAAAATTCCTACCACCCATGTGGAAGACCTAGGTGGGCATTTCCAGTTTCTGGCTCTGGCATTGACCAAGCCCCAGCTTTTACAATCATTTAGATAGTAAGTTAGCAGATGGAAATAGTCAGCCTCTCTTTCTCTCAAATAAATAAAAATATTTTAAAAAGAGAAACACTTTCAGAAAAGAACTCCTTCCCCTGGCTCCTAGACTAAGCTGAATGAAAAGTCAGGCTTTCAGTTAACAATATGTGTGAGACCTGGGGCACCGTGGCACCAGTGGACTAGCTCATTTTCTCTCTCAATGGTCTCGCCAAGCTCAGGGGGCCAGTTGCAGTTCTGTTCCTGTTCCATGAGGAAATCTACACTCTGCCACACCAGCTCACGATCCGAAGGCTTGAGGTGCTCATGGTAAGAGAGAAGCATCTGGAGAATGGACGACAGGCCATGAGCTGCCCCTGTAACAAAGAAAGCATAATTAATTCATACAACTAGGAGAGGAGTCAGTTTGCTTTAGTACAGAAACACTCAACAGGACAAAAAAAAAATGGCAACATTACTTGAAGGCACATAGTAATTCAGTAGTAATTGAACTGTTACTACATTTGATCTTAGCCCAAAGGCCAAGAAGTGATGTAATTGAACTGTTTAAGAACTATGTATCTGGCAATCTGCTGGCTGCAGGACCACTGAGATGGGCTAGTCCCAGCTACAAGCCAGGAGCTTCTCTGGGTTTCTTACATGTGTGCAGGGGCCTAAGTTGTTGGACTATCTTCTGCTGATTTTCCAGGCCTTTAGCAGGGAGCTAGATTGGAAGTGGAACAGCCAGGACTCAAACAGGTACTGATATGGGATACCAGCACTTTAAGTGGAAGATTTACCTGCTATGTCACCACACCAACAGCATATCAATAGGTCTTATGAAAATGTTCCTAGAGTGCTTCAAAGCAATTTGGTACGGGTATTCTAAACATTTATTCATTCATGAACTCAACACAGAAGTATTAAGCATCTACTTTTATAACAAATACTATACTCTGCGCACAGAGATACTCTGAAGATAGATCAGTGAATATAACGGGTTAATTTCCTTCTTTTATAATGTTGAACAGTAGTAATTGGCATTAACTTACTTAATCCTTCACTTTTCACACTTGTATATAGAACATCATCTAACCCTGGGAATATACAGATGAATATGATTTTGCTCATATTCTTGAGGACTTCCCTATCCAGTTGTGAGAGAGCTGGATTTTTTTTTTCAAATAATTGAAAAAAAATACAATACATACTGTTTGGAGGGATGTATTCCAAGAGTGTGACAATTAATTTTACATTGACTGGGCCACAGGGTTCCTAGCTACTTCGGTATATTTCTGGGTGAATCTGTGAGAGCACTTCAGGGTAAAAGTAGTATTTGAACCGATATGCTGAGTAAAGTCAATTGCCTTCCCCAATGTAAGTTAGCCTCATAAAATCCATCAAAGGCTGGAACAGAGTAAATTGCTAGGAAAAAATTATATCCCTCTACTTAACTATCTTCAAATTGGAACATTGCTCTTCTCCCTCTTGACCCAGATTTGGACTTTAACTTACACCCTAGCTTTCCCCAGCCTGGCTTTTTCAGCTTCCACATAATGTGAACCAACTCCATAATAAATCATATTTGTGTCCTATCTCTGGAGAATTCTGACTAATATTAATACAAGGAGCTAAATCGCAACCAAAGAAGGAGAGTTTTAACTTGACCTCAGCAGTGGATTTGGTACTGAAGGTTTCACGTTGGTAATGCCATTTAAGCAAAGTCTTAAAGAGACCCTCAGAGTTCCAGCAGATGGTAAAGCACCCTCCTGGGCATGAGCCTATCTTTGCAAACAAAGGAGTTATTGAAGAAAGGTGAATGTCCACCTGGTCCCTGCAGAAGTTTTCACAAAATTATTGAAATTTTGACTCATTAGGATTAGTGTGTTAGGGTTAATTTTGTTTGAACATTTGCTCTTTAACTCAATTCTAAAATGCTAAAGCTTTCTCTGTGTTCTGAAACCTTTTACTTTGCCATACTCAAAAATCTGGACTCAACCAGAAAGAGCCTGACAGTTGTATTCAGTAAACAATTCCATTGCTCTTAAAATTTGGTCATAAAATTTCAAAGTAACTTTCCTTCACTGGATTTGAAATTGCTAGGAACAAACTTGATTTTTCAGGAAAATGTATATAGATTAACTAGAAATCTGATTTGCACTACATATACGAATACCCAGACGTTAATCTCTCTTTAAAAACCTGACATGTTTGTGGAATAGCATGCTAAGCCTCTGCCTTCAAGCAAACATTCCATATAGGCACTATTTCATCTCCTGACAGTTCCATTTCTGATTTACTTCTGTGTAAATGTGCTTGGGAAAACAGCAAAGGCTGCCTCAGTTCCTTGGGCCCCTGCATCAACATGGAAGACCTGGAAGAAGTTCTTGGCTCTGGCTTCAGCCTAGCCCAGTCACAGCTGTTGTTTTTGGGCAGTGAACCAGTGGATGGAAGATCTCTCTCTCTATCTTTCCTTCCCTCTTTCGAAAGTTCTGCCTTCAAAGTAAATGGAATGGCTCTTTAAAAAAAAAAAAAGCAAAGCAAAACAAAAAACCCTGAAATGTAAAAGACTAGCTCTATTAGGTGTTATGTCCATGACCTCATCCATACTCACCAATCAGGTCACCTACTCTCCCTGCTTCTTAACATTTTCAAGTGCCTTTCATTGTGCCTGAGGCTTGCTCTGGCCACAGTAGTGTGCCAGAGTGTGCCCAGCTCACAAGGTCAGGGCTAACTTGCTAGGGAATCAATACTTCTGGCAACAGCTCTGAATGCAGCAGGGAGTTGGTGGATAAACACTTTAGCTCCTTCACTTCTTGGATGAGAAAATTATGAGGCAAATTTCACAGAGTTTCTAAAAGTCTCCAGTAGAACTGAGTAAGTTCTCCACAGTTGCTCATTATTATACACTCAATTGGCTTCTTTTTCTTTCCTATATCATCTGCTTATTTTTCCATAAACACTTTCTGGGATCACCTATCAAATAAATCTATTACAATGAAATCCTTCTTTCTTTCAAGTTTAAATCTAGAGAAACTTAGACTGGAAGTTACAGGTCTCTTCTGGGGGAAAAAAAAAACAAAAAAGAAAGAAAAGGTGTGATGTTTTTCTGTAGCCAGTCGCTCATTTGAGTAACCCCATTATGTGCATGTTCTTGCAGTAAAGATCTAGGGATCACGAAGATAAATGAAAGGAAGTCCTCATCCTGAAAGTGCAGAAAGTCCCTTAAGGTAGTTGAACTACTAAGCCACTAATTAAAGCGTAATTTAATAAGGGCTCTGACAGAAGTGTTGGCAGGGTGACATGACCGTTACCCAGTTTGGCTTCAGGCAAAAACCGGAAAACATATGAGTTGTTCCAGTGTGGGCTCAATAACCCTTTTTCCAAAAACATTTTAAGCTTCTCAGTAGATCTTATGACATTTGGGCAGTCTTGATGTCTGGGTATGATTGTCACAGGTAGAAAATGGTTTGAGGGAGGTGAGGAATTCTAGGCTAAAAGAGCATGCACAAAGGAATAAATACAGGAGGAAACTTTGTGTGGGGGAGACTCTACTGGAAAGGACCTGACAGGGCGAGATAAAGCTTGTGTCTGCAAAAAGAGGCAGGTGAGCTAAAGGAGCCTGAACAATTTTTTCTCAGGTTTGTTAGGGAATCTTTGAAGAAGTCAAAAGAGGAGTAACTAACTACTCTTGATGTGGTGTAGAGCTCAAAATCAGTTATTGTAGTTCAGCAGTCTGCTAATAATCAACAGCTATTAAAAGTAAATATTAGTGGCTGAATCCTGAATCAATAAGAGAAAATTGTTCACAACCTCTCAGCAAAATTGGGCCAAAGTTGCTTACAATCTAGAATACGTTTTTTCTTTTTAATGTCGGGCTTTTTAGAAATTATTTTCATTATTATTTTTAATTGATATAAAATGGACAGATTTCATATTTTTCACGATACAGATTAAGAAACATAGGAATGTTACTTTTCCTCTTCCCCCTCCTCCCTCCATCCCTATCTCGCTCTCATTATTTTTTCCCAAATTATTACAATAGCATTAGAATAAGGATTTTGGTATTAGTGAAAGTAGTTGTTAAAATAGCTACATCTGAGGCTGGCACTGTGGTGTGGCAGGGGAAGCTAACCCCTACAACACCATATTCCAACATGGGTGCCAGTTCAAGTCCCCAATGTTCCACTGCCCATGTGGTCCCCTGCTAATGGCCTGGGAAAAACTGCAAGATGTCCCCAGCATTTGGGCTCCTGAACCCACAAAAGAGCTCAGAGGAAGTTCCTGACTCCTGGCCCAGCTACAGCTTGTGCAGCCCTTTGGGGTGTGAATCAGCATATGAAAGATCTTTTTTTCTCTGTCCCTCTTTTGCTTTAAGTCTAAAAATAAATAAATGAAATAGCAACATTTCTGTCTGATAGACTATGAAAGCACGAATTAAACCATGAATTGTGATATCTGTCAGTGTTTGTCTTAAAACTGCATTCATTTTGATCAGTGCACTCTGTACATATCTACTGAAGTATGACACTGTACCCCACAGAGAGGTACAATTATCATTTATTAATCATAGATTAAAACTTTTTAACTAATATTATCCCTTGCTAAATGAATTGTGATGAGTTAGGGAAAAAAAAAAGAATCCTGCAACCATTGCTCAATGCTAATGTCAGAGACTCCCATCCTACAAGCCTCAGTCAACACCTTCACTCACCCAAGTACTCAGTTCCATAGTAAGAGTACATTAGGGGAAACGGTTTCCTCTTCTTCATGGCATATTGCTTCCCAGAATCCAGAATCGCCTGGCAAATTGATTTGATCTGTACTGGAGTTAGCACCTGAGTAAGAAAATCAAAAAAAGCAGTTGTTAAAACAGAATCCTTTTTCCCTATCTTAGACACTGGGTTTTCTTGCTTGTAAAGTCTATCGGGCCCGGTGCGGTGGCGCAAGTGGTTAAAGGTCCTCGCCTTGCACGCCCAGGATCCCATATGGGCGCCGGTTCTAATCCCGGCAGCCCCGCTTCCCTTCCAGCTCCCTGCCTGTGCCCTGGGAAAGCAGTCGAGGACAGCCCAAAGCTTTGGGAACCTGCACCCGTGTGGGAGACCCGGAAGAGGCTCCTGGCTTTGGATCGGCATAGTATTGGCCCGTTGCGCTCACTTGGGGAGTGAATCATCGGACGGAAGATCTTCCTCTCTGTCTCTCCTCTCTGTATATCCGCCTTTCCAATGAAAAAATAATAAAAATAAATCTTTAAAAAAAAGTCTATGAGCACACACAAAAAAATAAGGAGATAGACATGTTGATTGCCTTATTTGGTGAATTTATGTTACATGCATGTGTTGAGATCATGCTGTACCAACATAAAATGTATATTACATGTTAATCAAAACAAAATTAATTTAAAAAATCAGTATATCCTTAGAATCTTTCATGCATGTAAATACACTTAACCAACTATATGTATGTATTTTACCACTGATTCTCCTTTTGCTGTCAAATGTTATCTACCCTCTTTAGAAAATACACTGTTTTGCTGGAAAACACACACCTTTACTGCTACAGGTTGTTATAAATGCAAAGGGCACCTCACAATTGTTACATCATTAATCTTCATCACAAGAACAAGAATTTGCTCAGAAAAGTACAACTCATGGTCCTAGCTGGTCCTGATTCTCAGAGCTGCATCTCGTCTTAATGTAGTGCAGCCACAATTCTGTGACAAGCTGCTACATGACAGACTCATTCTGGATAGTGACATTCACTGAATGAAACCTAAGTTCAACTGTGACAAAACAATTTCCAAACATTGGTGTGGATATTTGATTAAGTGGTTAAAACACCTCCATTCTGTGTCTGAATGCCTGGGATCAGTCCCTGGCTCCAGCTCCAGACTCCAGCTTCCTGCTAATGCTGACCCTAAGAGGCAGTGGGGATGGCCCAAGTAACAGTCTTCTTTCCACTCACTTGGAAGACCTGAAGTTAGTTTCTAGTCTCCAGCTGTAGTTTGGTCCAGCCCAGGCTCTCTGTATCTCCCAAATACATTAAAACTGATACAAACTTGTAAATATCAGAATGACTCTGAATAGAGAATGAGTAAGAAGCAACAACTTCCACTCTTCCATATTTTATTCAATCTATCCACAATCAGTTTTAGCACCATAGAGATTAAAATGCTCTTAAACCTTCAAAGCATCATTGAATTTATTATTCTGCTTAGGTCTGCAATGTGCTCTGTGTCCTGTCCTTCCTTAGGGCAGATCAGATGCTCCCTCTGGCACACTGCCTCTATCACCAGAACTCTTGATCTGGTGCAGCATTTACCACTCATTTGGTCTCTCTCTAGACCCTCAATTGTTTGAAAGTAAAGACCATGACATCCTATATTTTCGTATCCTTGGTGCCTAATAGAGAGCTGGAGGGGTCACTTGGTAGCCAATAAATACATTTAACTGCCAGGTTAACTGGTAGGAAAAGTAGAACTCTTCTTTCTTTAAAAATTCATTTTCTTCTAATTTTATTTTCTTCCTAATATTGTTTACATAGTTGAGAAGGATGCACATGCATGTGGGCTTCTGATTAGGGTGGGGAGGTTCAGGTATGGAGGAAAGTGGATGGGACAAATGTTTCAGTTTTTTTTCCCTCTCCTGTGTCTGCTGAAAAGAATACAGAGGAGGCCACTCCTTGCTGCCAAGCTTCATCAGCACCCAGGGATGGGGAACAGTCATTAGATGATACCTTAGAGACCCTGATGTGGGAAACAGTGTTCTAAGAGTATTACTTGAATGATTTTGGTAGTTCTGAAAAGTTGTTGGTCTCATTGCACCAGGGTTGATAAAATCTTTTCAAGGTCTATTGGTTGACAGTCTACCTTAGTGCATCCACAGACTATGCTGGAATACTGGTATAGTTAACACAAATTTGGCATTAACAAGGCCAAGAATGCCCACCAGCTACTGGCTGCTTTTCTCTGAGCAGTGTAACACTTGCCTAGGTACAAGGTAATCTAGATAGTTGCCTACAGCTAGGGTCTTTTCCTTTGTACTTGACTCTCTCTCTCTCCCTCTTTTACTTCCACTCAGAATTATTTCTTAAGCTGCTAATGTATGCAAAGCAAGAATGTTTAAAATACCAGAGATGTGATGGTGACCAAGTAATCTCTGTATTCATGAAGTCATCTATCCCAAAAGGCAAATCTACACAGGAATGGTACCTGTTACATTAATACTTGTTCCTAACATAAAACAATCATCTGAAGTTCAATCTTATGGGATGAATATAGAACCAAGCAAAAGCTCGCTGGATGTTGGCCTCTCTCATAAGAACCATACATATAATTTGTTAGTTGATATCTGGCATTAGACCCACCAATTCCTTTTCTTTTAAAGGGTTATTGATTAGAAAGGAGAGAGATATCTTGCATCTTGTATCTTCTGGCAGTAAACTATCCTGGGAGTGCCCCCAGATGGCCACAAATAGCCCAAGGTTGGTCCAGGCTGAAGCCAGGAATCAGGAGTTTCATCTGGATCTCCTATGTGGTAGCAGGTGCCCAAACACTTTGGCCATCTTCCACTGCCTTCCCAGCACATTAGCAGGTACCTAGATTGAAAGTGGAGCAGCCAGGATTCAAATTCGCACTCTTATATGGGATGCCACCTTGCAGGCTGTAGCTTAATGCACTGCACCACCAACTGGCCCCAAGACCCACCCATTCTTTATGAAATAAAATCCAATTTACCCAACGTAAGAAGAGCAAATGAAAATCCAGGGTTTTGTTTCCTCAAATCAAGCTTTTAATTTAGAAAAATAATTCTTTAAAGCAGAAAGTATTAATTTGACAATTGTGGCAACTGACATTTGTTTACATCCTGTCGCAGGAAGCTTGCACACTAGGTTTCATACTAGGCATTGTGGGGAAATTCTAGAAGGCATGGAAGAGATTTTTTTTCATAGGGAATTTAAACTACCCACTGCTGGAGATGAGATATGACAAAAAATCCACAATCCTCAATTAAAATTCATGAACCTCCAAATGGAAAGAAAGGAATGTAGAGAATGTAGCATGGATGATGAAGTATCATTAATCTTTGCAAGGACTTAGTTCTCTCCTCCCTTTTCATATGCCCAGAAAAAAGCTATGTCATGACTGTCAAGTTAAATTTCCTTTTTGTTAACTACCTAACTTAGTCTCGTGAGTTTACTCTTCCTGAAGATCCTCTTTTCCTATGAATCCCCACTGTCATGTGTCAATCAAAGGTCTTCCCTTAGTCCACTAGTAAATTTTTCTTAAATGCTTTACTGGTTTGTACCCATTCACATTGCTATCAAAATGTTCCTTTGATATTGAAAACCTTCATTCTTTGAGTCTTTATCAGTATCAACTGATGTTCCATTTATTCTTTACTTAAAATCTCGCATCATTAGTCTCCAATCATCTCCTTCATCCTGGCTGATTCTCAGCAACCTGCTAACAACCTTGAAGGGCATGCCCTTAATAGCACATTACTCTGTCTCTATGCAATATTTTTCAGGGACTATAGTGTGTTCTTTAGCTGTACTTGGGCTCTGTATGCCCAATATTGATTTTGATTCCATATGGCAGAGGTGGTAGGGCATGATCACTGAATTGTCAGGGATGTACTCATTTAAGTTACTAAGATTATATTTGCCTTTCATGTCTATAATTGAAAATTAGTTTGTTATTTCCTCAGTTGGATGTTTATTCATGTTTCCTGTGTGTCTTCAGTATGTGTGCACCTGTTTGCTTTAAACCTGGGGCAGGGAGTGGGGAAATCAACTTATGCTCCATGTGGTACTCTCTCTCTTTCCATCCCTAGTCCACAGGTCAAAATTGGAACTGAGTGCATAAATACTATTTCAAAATCTCTCCTGGTCATGCATCATGTCTGGGTGTTTTCCTCTTATCTCCCAGAAACACTGTGAAAAACAAAGAGAAACCAGCACTTGTTCAGCTGGATAGAGACCAGTCATGCATGCAGTTCTTTATCTCTGAAAACAGACAAGACCTACCCTTGGATGTATTGATCAGCAAATAAAAACTGAAACGAGTACTCATTAAGCTGTCTGTATGTTGGGAGGGGGGTCACTGAGGAAGAGCATAGCATGTTCCCTTCCCCCCAGCCTCTGAACAAACAATATGGAAAGAATAAAGGAGCTGAAACTCTGCAGCAGGTGCTGATTTTGTCCTCTTACTTATCTGCTTTCTCAAACATCCCTCCATTCCCCCACTTCTAACCACAGGAGCACATGCTGTGCAGCACCACTACTGCTAAAAAGACAGCCTCTGTACTTATGAAACACTCTGAGGTTCTGGCAAGGAGGGACTGGAAGTTCCCTGGGAGGTGGGGGCATGGAGGAGAGAGGCAGAATCAAAAAGTAACTAGGGATGGCAGAGAGAGGGGCTCCTTGTTCTTTAGGGCTTCACCGAAATAAACCCAAAAGCCCACTCCTGTTTTGTAGCACCCTAAAGCCTAGCCTATGTGTGTATTGACATTTTTGTATGGATTGAGTTTTTAAACATTTTTTTCACTGAATTAAAATAAACTTAGATATCTTAAGAACACAATCAAGTCTGTGGCAGTCTTGACTGAAAGCTTTCCTGATATAACTGATTCCCTTCACCATCTTGTGAAATATTCCTGATGAGATGGCTTCTGAGTATGAAGAGACGGAAGAACAAAAAAGTACAGCAAGGTACATGCTTATGGCGCTTTGCCCTGCCTAAAGTCATGCCATGACTGATCTACCTCTATACAGAAGAGAGATGCCCTTTATTAAGAAAATAAAGAAAATGGGTCAAGCCACAGGCTGCTTGTCTTCC